CCTTCAACGATTATGTATATAATTCTATCGAATTAAGAACATAATTTATATTTATAGATTATACAGCATTAAGTTATACTGCTAAAAGATATTAGTAAGCATTGCAAAATTTATTATTCTTAGAATAGTACCAGCACGATATGGAAAAATATAGATCTGGAAATGTCTAAGCCAATAAATTTTATCTCTAGCTTTGCCATTTGACTTTTTTTATTGTGATTGCTGCATAAACTAAAAGATTTTAATAATAAGCTAATGAAGGTGATAAATATTAAAGTTGCAAAACAGTTAGTTAAAATGCTCCTAAAATTATCCATTTGATTATAATGAAGTTACAAAATCACTTTAAATATTAAATCCCATGAATTAACGTAAATCAGTTGTAGAATTTTATCATAATTCTAAAGATATCTTAGCTTGATTAATAATTTTAAAAAGCTTTTACAAATTAGTATTAAATTAATGATGACAATTAAAATCCTTGATAATAAAAACTTTTAATCTTAAAGAGTTTCAATATATTTTCTTAATCTAAATAATTTAATTAACAGATTTTTGGCAAAAAAAAGGAGAGTTACAAATACTAAACATTAAATTAATTGTGGTAAAATATTGGTGAAAAGATCAGCATCTATATTATATTATTAGAATTTCTCACTTAAATCAACTTATTTTTCTTTTCTTGTTATTATATTTACAAAATCATCAATTTAAAAAAACTGTAAATAAGATTATATAGATAGCAATTCTTATGCTTAGAAATATATGTAGAGGTTTTCAGGATAGTCAACATTAATAAATCTTAAGAACGATTGATATTACAATAGATTCAAGGTTTCAACAACAAAAGAACTTTCACCAGAAACTAAAGATATTACACATATTGTTATGGCTCCAATCATAAATGCTTTATTGGATTTTTAAGCTTAAATCGATACTTATCTTAATTCTTCAGACATTATTTTTGGTATTTATAGAGTAATTGATTAATTTGGATTAAAAAGTGTTTAATTATTTGAGTTAATAATTTCTTGATTCAACTAAACTTAAAGAATTGGTTTTGTTTAAAGCTGTTAAAATAATTCAATTTAAACCTAATACTAAGCATGTTAAAGATCAAATGAGATATCCTAAATCGAATTGATCGTGATATTATAATACTTGGAATCTAAGTCCTTAATGCTTATGTCAAATAATTTTTTTTCTTTTTAAACCTAATCACTAAATTTAACTTCTTAATCAAATGTAATCTCAATTTACTAAAAAGCATAGAATTACATTTTATAAGTAAGTTTCAAACTGGGTTTTTTTGAGTATGCACAGTCGTATTCACAGCATATCATATTTTCATTTAATGACAACCATTATGGATTTAAATCATAATTGATTATGTTGCTTATGCTTGTATGATTATTATTTTAAGTTTCTTCAATATTGCTAGAAATAAGGTCATCATTTTCTTTATTTAACAAGCATTTACTGTTTTATAAGATATAGTCATTATTGCATAAAAGACATTCTCCTTACTCGCATATTTGACAATATTTGGCACATTAAAATTGGCATTTATAACATCCATCATCAGGAACATCATTCTCATCATCACAATATTCATTCCCTGCAACAATACCATCTCCACATTGAGGAAGACAATCATTACTATAATTATCATAATACAATCCCATTAAACCTTCACATAATTTTAGTTATTCACAAGCACTTTTTGATTGTACGAGTATTAAAGGTGGCTCACATAATGTACACTTTCCAAATTAGCAATCCAAACATTCAATTTGACATTAATATTTACACTCGAAACAACCATCATATTTCAAATCATTGCCATCATCACAAACTTCATCACTTGCTAATATCTTATCATCACAAACAGAATTACAAGAATTACTTACAATATCCAAATAGAAGCCTGAAAAGCAATTAATACAAACTCCATAAGCACAGGACTTACAATATTGAGGACATTATTATTTACAATTTAAACAAGTATCTAATTAGTATTCACTTCCGTCGTCGCATTCCTCTTCCTAAACTATAATAGCATCTCCACATTTAGGCACACACTAGTTTCCATAATACCCAAATTCACATTCTAAACATTTGGAAAGTACACATTTTTTACAATTTTTAGGGCATTTATTCATATTATAATCAATTATGCATGTGCTGGTAAATGAATCAAGATATCCATGTTAACAAAATATGCATTAGTTATTATTTAGTATTTTACAATTAGGCTATTCATTAATTGTAACCAAGGGTTGAATTGGTTTGCAAGAATTACTTAATTAATCAAATTCATAATCAAGCTAGCAAGATTAACAAATTCCATTCAAACAACTTTCACAATGCTGTGTACATTAGTATTTACATTAAAAGCAACCATCAAA